GTATTAATGCTTCTTTTATCATTTTACAAAATATCTTTGCATATTTCCACATATTTCATAATATTTCCACAATGTCTCTAATTTTTACAATATTTCCCCTCAACATTTCCGACATATATCCTATATTTTGGTAAGCGACATTTCCATCGACATCGACATTTTAAACCTTACAACTGAGAACTCTAATTCTCGATGCTTCTTGTCATAGGCTAACTTCATTTGTTGTTGGGCCTGTTGCAAGTGGAATTTGAGGAGTTTGATAGTATTATCCCTTGCTTGTAACTGTGTTTCTACCTTGGCAACCGACGAAGTACCTGGCTCATACGGCAGAATGGAAGGAGGTTCATAGCCGTGTAGCACTTTAAAGGGCGTCGTTCCAACTGAAACTTGGAACGTGGTGTTATACCAATATTCTGCCCAGGGCAGCCACTGGACCCACTGTTTGGGCTTATCACCCACAAAACACCGCAGGTATGTCTCCAAGCAACTGATTGTCCACCTATCTGCGGATGGTAGCTGGTAGAATGCAACATCTGAACCCCTTGAGCTGTGAAATAAGCCTTCCAGAAGGCACTCATGAAAAGGGGATACTGATCAGTTAATATGGACTGTGGTGTCCCGTGCAGTTTGGCTACCTCCCGAATATAGGCCTGGGCCACTGTAGTTGCTGGATAGGGGCAGGAAAGACTGATGAAGTGAGCATATTTACTTAGTCGGTCCACCACCACCAACACCATTGATTTTCCCTGAGACGTGGGCAGCCCAGTTATAAAGTCCATAGTGACTTCTTCCCATACCCCTTCCGGAATTGGTAGAGGTTGCAACAACCCCACCGGAGTCTGTGCGCTATACTTCTGCTGCTGGCAAATAGTACAACGGGCCACAAATTCTTGCACCATCCTTTTCATACCCTTCCAATAATAGTGGGCTGCCAGGCGTTTATAGGTGCGGAGAGCTCCCGAGTGTCCCCCTTGGGCCGAATTATGGAAGAGTTGAGGCATCTCCTGGTGATGCTTGGATTCCCCAGAAACCACCATCGACCCTTGTAGAAGAGTATGCCGTTCTGGACTGTGCAACCTGGGACCTGGGCCGCATCCTCAAGGATCTGGGCCCGAATTTGGGCTAAGTGGGGGTCATCCTGGGCTTCCTGTTTCAATTGGGAAGACAATGGATAAGTCAGCTATGACAGGCCCATCAAAGTAAACTCACCAGCTCTAGAGAGTGCATCGGCTACTGCATTAGAAGCCCCAGATTTGTATTCGATTGCAAAGTCAAACCCCATTAACTTGTAGGCCCATTTATGCTGATTTGGGCCCAAAACTCGCTGCTCCAACAAGTGTTTAATGCTGCGGCGATCCGTCCTGATAGTAAACCTACGGCCCAATAGATAGGCCCTCCATCTTTGAACCGCCAAAGCAATGGCCGTGAGCTCCTTCTCATAAGTGGACTTAGCTTGGGCCTGTGATGAAAGAGCCTTGCTGAAGTAGGCTAAGGGCCTGCCTTGCTGCATCAACACAGCCCCAATTCCCTTACCTGAGGCATCGGCCTCTACTACAAACTCCAAATCGAAATTTGGAAGAGCCAGCGTAGGTGGAGTGGTTACTACTTCCTTGAGGACCTGAAATGCTTCTTCTGCTTGTTGGTCCCACACAAATGAGTGTTTCTTCAGCAGCCACGTGAGGGGAGCGGCAAGAACCCCATATCCTCTAATGAACCGGCGGTAATAACCCGTCAGTCCAAGGAACCCCCTGAGAGCCCGTGGGGAGCTGGGTCGGGCCCAAGAGATCATGCAACTAATCTTCTCTGGGTCTGTGTAAACTTGTCCTCCAAAAATAATATGCCCCAAGTAGCTGGTCTGGGAATGCCCAAACGAGCATTTTGAAGGTTTGGCGAACAACTGATGTTGTCGAAGAAGGTTTAATACACATTGTAAATGCTCCAAATGGGAGGCCCAGATGGAACTGTAGACAAGTATGTCATCGAAGAACACTAGGACAAATAGGTGCAGATAAGGCTTGAAAATCTCGTTCATGAGTCTCTGGAACGAAGAGGGGGCATTGGTCAGCCCAAAGGGCATCACTAAGAACTCAAAATGTTCGTCTAAGGTCCTGAAAGCTGTTTTATGAATGTCTTCAAGGTGGACCCGGATCTGGTGGTAACCTGATCGCAAGTCCATCTTAGAGAAGTATTTAGCTCAGCCCAACTCATCAAATAGCTCCTCGATCAAGGGTATGGGGTACCTGTCCTTGATCGTGATGTGGTTCAAGGCTCTATAGTCCACACAGAATCTCCAGCTCCCATCCTTCTTTCTTACCAAAATGACTGAGGAGGAAAAGGGACTGCTGCTGGGCCTGATAAATCCTTTGTCTAACAGCTCTGTCACCATACATTCCACCTCTACCTTTTGATAATGGGGGTAGCAGTAGGGTCTGACATTAGCGGGTGGGGCTCCGGGCTGGATAGGAATCCAGTGGTCATGGTCCCGGGTGGGTGGTAATGAGGTGGGTTCTTGGAAAATCTCGGAGTAGGACTGAAGCAGAAGTTGGAGCTGTTAGGCTTGGCTTGGGGTGAGGCTAGTGTTTTCTGTGAGTGGAATGGGCCCAGTTGGTATAGAGCCCATGCTCATCAAATATGGGATGGACTCTTGTTGACAAGTCTTGAGAACCACCTCTAAGTTGTCAGCAGATATGGATTGGGCCCTATTCCCTTTTAACATGTAGGAGTTCCCTTCATAATTAAATTGCATGGTCAAGTTGGCCCAATTACATACCACCGGGCCTAGCAACTGAAGCTGTTGTATGCCCCAAGACAATGTCTGCCCCCGTGAATTCTAACGGGTGTAAATCCACATGAAATTTGTACCCCTGAATCTTCAATTCTACAGACTTGCACTTGCCATCACAAGAGATTTGGTGGCCGTTGGCGACATTAACTGCAAACGGGGAGACAGGTTCTATCACCAACCCCAGTTGCCTGGCCAGTCGTGGTGTAACAAAATTTAGAGAGCTGCCACTGTCAATCAAGACAGCCACTCTCTTCCTTGAGATCAAACCTTGCACTTGCATGGTCCTCGGGGCCTAATATCTGGCTAGAGCCTGAAGGGATATGACGCAGTACTCTACTTCCAGAATCACCTCCATTTGGTGGACCTCCGGGTCACCGGTTTGGGTCTCATAGTCATCCTCTCCTTCTACTTGTAGAAGATATACCTGCTGGGCCTTGCATTTGTGGCCTGGGACGAATTTTTCGTCGCAATTGTAACAGAGACCCCTCTCCCTATAGGCCTGCATCTCCGTCCAAGATAGCTTCCAGTAAGGAAGCGTCATTGCTCCAGCTCTTCTGTTCGGCAGAGCAGGTAAGGGTACCGGTTTGGGGGTAACAGGGGTTGGAAGTAGAGGCCTAGGTCTCGGTTCAGCCTTAGAATGAGGTCCCTTCTGAATCAGGCCCACTTGAGGCCCGTTAGGTCTACCCAACTTCTTAAGTCGGTCCAATATCTCCTCCTGAAGTTTGGCCAACCCTACTGCCACCATCAGGGTAGTCGGTTGCATGGTATTCACCTCTATTCAAATGTCTTCTCTTAGTCCCCCTATAAAGCACCCTACCAAGGCAGCCTCCGGCCAGCCCTAAACCCGAGTGGACAACCGTTTGAATTCATTTTGATATTCCCTCACCGTCCCTGTCTGTCTCACCCGAGAGAGAGTCTCATTGAAGTTTTCATGTCCAGAGGGACCGAACCTCACACGTAGGGCTTAGGTAAGGTCCAACTAGGTGGTCTGAGGGTGGGTCTTACGGTACCACTGGGACCACATGATAGCTTCACCATCCATATGTATGGCAGCAATGGAGACCCTCTGATCTGCCGGGGTCTCATGGAACTCAAAGTAACGTTCTACCCGGTAAATCCGAGGAATGGGATCATCACCTGAATAAAGAGGAAAGTCGATTTTGGCAGCCTTGACTAGAAATGCCCCTCCTCACCGAACGCCGCTGCTGCTGGATCCTTCAACCTCCGTGGATTTGGGAGCTGATGACATTCGTTCCAACTGGCCAACCAGTGCTGAGAGAGTTTCTTTGATTTCTCTCAGTTCATTGGTAGTCTGTCGAACTTCTCCTTCTACCCGGTCAATCTGTTCTTCAGCAAACGAAGCTCTAGTGGTTGGCATTGAGGCAAGGCTCTGATACCAATTGGTAAGCCCCGCTATGGTATGTTCACTGGTGAGCTGTTTCGAGGAAGCTCGCCCTCCTGAAATGGATGAGAGGAAGAAGACGAGAGAGAGAGAGGGAAAATCTCAATGATTCTTCTTGCTTTCATGCATTCGTGAATGGCCTATATAACAAATGGCCAGCTGCCACTATAACCGATTCTGACATTCTCAGTGCATGTTCTCAGTACATAATTAATTTTCAAAACATGGACGTCGGTTGTATACAAGAGTGATGGGTGGTGTCACTCGCGTGATCCTGGGTTTGTTGAATGTGCAGGTTAGATTGATACTGCAAGATTCAAATGCTACTTCAGAGAGAGAGAGAGAGAGAGTTGGCTGCTACTTCAGATACACTAGCTAAATTGGAATTGAAACGGTGTTTTTCTAATGGTGACAGCATGAGTCTGAATAGTTTTTATTTCAAGTAGATTGTCCATTTTTTCATATTTTGTGCATTTCTCTACATCGTCTCATGTACACCTTTATCTTTTTTGCTATATCATATAATTCATATCAGTCACTTTCTTTATAAATATGTCCAAATTCTTGCAAAATACTAAGCCTTTATAACTTCAAAAAATTTGAGGGTACTGCAATACTTTCACAAGTATCAGATATACTCAACAGAACACAAAATCAGGTATCTCATGAAAACTGTCCCATGAAGACTTTGAGAAAAATTTAATAGGTCTGTACACTTAGATACAACTTACCATCTCAGTTATCTGCAGTCGCCTATGACCAATAAGAACTACCTGATCCCCTTGGATACTAGTTATCTGGCTTGTCAAATTCAAAAAACAAAAAAAAGGAACTGTTAGAGAGGTTCACCACTTTGAAAGTGTCACACAAAAAGTTCTTTGACCAAGTCAATGCAAGAGATCACTAGAAGTTTAGTAGGAGATACCTGTGCCAAGGTGCCAACTTCATGAAGACGACTGAACAATTCTTTTCCTTTGAGATCATATATATTCTTCTCTGTTTCTGAACCAGATGAAAGACTAGAATCTGACCCTGGTTCATCTTTAAGCAGAAAAGCACCCGCATATGGGGCCTGTCGTTTACGATTTTCCACTAAAGCTGCTAATAGTTTGGGATCCTGCAGGAAAACCTCAAACTTTTCTATGAGCAAGTATTATCTTTTTTGGGGGTCAAATATGACCATGTAATTGAATTATGTCTTTTGTAGAGTGTCATTAGGAACAACAAAAAAAAATAGATACCAATTGCAGTTTTACACAGTAAAACAAAGAAACATCATTTAAGAAACCTAAAAGTACGGTTTGTATTATTGATTGTAATTAAGTATTAGAAAACAACAATCACAAGACTGCAATTTTCTATGTACATGAAAAAGATAAAACCTAGTTCAGTTCGCAAATAAACATAAGTCAAAGACCCATTATGCAATCATATGTAAATGAACATTGGACAAATCAGACCATAAACTCCACAAAAAAAAGTGTACTTAGAAATCAAAGGAGGAAAATTGAAATATAATTATCTGAGAATTTGATGTCATCAACTCCAATTTGCTGTCAGTCATAAGAGAAAAAGAAGGTCATGGCCCCTACCCCAGACGAGAAAACACAGTTGTAAAAAATAATCATCAATTTTGTGAATTTAAAAATAAATTAGTAATTGAGTAATTGAGTTATTCAAGTTTTCCCTTATCACTAATATAAGAATATTCACAATTACCACAGTTGAATAAAATAATCATTAATTTTGTGTATTTAAAGTTCAATTATTAATCCAATAATGAGCTATTTCAACTTTTCCCTATCAATAATATATCATTATTCACAATTACCAATAAAAAAAGGGGCAAAGGTGGACATGACTCAGTTATTGCCAGAATTTACTGAACAAAGACTATAGCAGTCCTTACAGGAATTGAAATTTGAAAACACATTAGCTCTTAGAAGATCAGACACCACATATACAGTGATGGAACTTTGGAATCTAAAGCCAAAGAGGCAATGGGAAAAGATACTGTGTAGTGCACTTGGGGTGAGATTTGAGAGATCTTGGATTGGCCTCTTTCACCTTCTGTTTTAAGAGGCCATTGATGGTTCATCCTGTATTATCTGAAGATTCTGAACATAGAAGCCGAGACCAAGCATCTGATGTTTTAACTGCTAGGACCAAAGGGTCAAAAGTCAATTTTATTAGTTGATCATTTCTTTTGATATATAATATATTCATTGTTCATCAACCAAAACATTTCTACTATTTGTCCAGTCTTGAACTCTATCCTGAAGGCCAAAAAGAAAAGCTTGATCTTGAGGATGTGCCAACCTTTGAAAGGCTAGCTCCAGTACCTTGAATTGGAGAAAAGAAAGAGGGAAGTACTAAGGTGTTTTTTTTATTTCTTACTAAGGAAGGTATTATTCCATTTTGAGTACTAGAAATATGTAATTTTATTTATTAGTCCAAAAGAATTGCCAAAATAACAAATCTAACACAACTAAACAGGGAAAAAAATGCAGTCCTTCCCTCCCAAGATCATGTATTCCTTGTCACAAACTCAGGAGCTCTCCCAAGATCCAATGGCTTTGACTTTCCAGTAGCACCTCAGAAATGACAAACTTTCAACAGATCCCTAGTCCTTCTATCTTGTCCTCCAGAAAAGCCATTCTCATCTGTCCTCTGGAACCTGCAACAACCCTCTTTCTTTGTGGTTTACCTAATGTACTATATTGTTATCCTTTGGCAATCCTGTGTTTAAGTTGAACAAAAGATGGCTTATACCAATTCATCAAAGAAGAAAAAAAAAATATGGCTTATGCCAATGTATAACACGAGTGCAAAAACTTAGTGACAACTGACAAATGCCTTTGTAATTGTTCCTATGGGAAATCTGGTGACTAGAAAGGGAATTCAAGAAGCAAGGAAATAATAAGATGTCATACCTTCACATATATTGGCATGTAGAAACCTGGAAATAAAGGTCTATGTGGCAGAGGCAAAGCTAAAACCTGCAAGAATAATCACATTAATAAGAACTTAATAAATGTTAACATGATAGTATAAAATGGATAACTCTAGAAAATAAAACAATTGGCCAGTGATTTCGTAATCTAGTTAATTAACATATAACAGAAAACACTAGCAGGAATTTGACTAAATTCATGTAAATGAAGTATATATCTTCTTGGATAAAGAGTAACTGAGAGGGAGGGGAAGAGGAGAGAAGGAGAGCATCAACAAATTAAAAATGGAAAGCTTTCATTAAATAACGTCTGATGTTACCCTTGAAAATTAACAAAAGAGTGTCATAAGTGACCATGTTGACTCTGAGGTGGATGAATTAACATTTTGTAAGTTTAACACATTAAAGAACAATGAACACAGACACCACTTCTCTCCAACCCTGATGCATGAGAAATCTTAAGTTCTTAAGTTTCTCTACCAGATTTTTTTTTTTTTTGATCAATAACAGAAATCATTATTAATGAATAATACTTGTGAAAATTAATTACAGAAATCTACCAGATATTGTTCCTTAGCTGAAAAGTAGCAACCCTCAAAATGCTTTCCAATAAGCATGCAACCAGTTCTACATGCATGAAGGGTACAGAAGCACAGTATAATATGTGGATGTTGTCACCAATGGCAAGATTATCTTTAATAAAATTTCTCTTTCCATCACCATCATTTTTTTGAAGCACGTAAAGTATTGAATTGTATTAAAGTAAAAAAGAACAGCCCATGTACAATGAGAGCCTGTGCAATGGGAATATACAGAGTGTCAACAAAAGAAAGGCCCATCTTGCAAAAAAGAGTAAAGCTGTTTCACCAGTCTATTCTTTCCATCACTTGTTAGTGGAAAATTTTTTTAGTATAATTTCTCACATAACATAATTCACCCAATTAGACTAATAACTGGGTTTTTTTGTTATTTGGGTAATCCCCATTCGGGAAATCACGTAGATATTCCCTTAATTACATCTCTGCTAGGGGCAGAGAAAACCTTCTGATTCTGATTCAGAAGTACCAATGAATAGAAACTAAACTAAGTATGAATTTCTACAGAATTTTCCTTTGAAAATTCTGGTATATATTCCCTCTTTATTTGAGAGAAAACCAGCATATAAAGAAACAAACATTGAATGCATAACAAGTAAATAGGTATCATCAAAAGTGTGTTTCATCAATAAGGCTACAAATGGCCTTTAAATTATGGTTGTGTGCATTATCATGCTGTGAGGAACCATAATCAGCCAAGTTTCATGAACAAGGCTGTAGATGGTTTTTCCCCTCACACATAGGTTAGTAGGTTGTAAGGAACTATAATTAGCCAAGTTTCATGAACAAGGCTGTAGATGGTTGTCTCCTTACATGTATTTCAATATGAAACAAGGAAGAAAAGAAAAAAATAAAACGAAGAAAGAAAGGAGTGAGAAGAATTGATAGAATATGGGCTTCCATCTCATGTGAGAAGCACAAGGAGTATCATATTGAAGAGGTGTAGGAAGAACACAAGATTCCCTACCTTCTTCTTCCTTTTTCTTTTATGCTCTCCACACCGATCTTCTTCTCTTTTCTCTTCCCACTTGTTTATTAATGCTAGAAATCCATAGCCAACAAAAAAGGCATTATCCAACAAAAAGGCATTAACCTCTTCTCCTTGTAGGAGAAGGGTTTATATAGAGGAGGGAGGTGGTTAAGTAACTCCCCACTCCCCTCTTCTTAGAGTGCCAAGTGTCACCCCACTTAAAATGGGTTAAGGAGGGAAAATAAAACTTTTCCTTCATAAGGTGACAAGTGTCCCCCCACTTCAAGTGGTTAGAGGAGAGAAAATAACTCCTTCCTAGGGTGAATGTGTCCCCCCACTTCAAGTGGTTAGAGGAGGGAAAACAAATCCTTCTTCCTAGAGTGATATGTGTCCCCCCACTTCAAATGGTTAGAGGAGGGAAAACAAATCCTTCTTCTTAGGGTGACATGTGTCCCTCCACTTCAAGTGGTTAGAGGAGGGAAAACAAATCCTTCTTCTTANTGGTTAGAGGAGGGAAAACAAATCCTTCTTCTTAGGGTGACATGTGTCCCTCCACTTCAAGTGGTTAGAGGAGGGAAAACAAATCCTTCTTCTTAGGGTGACATGTGTCCCCCCACTTAAAGTGGTTAGAGGAGGGAAGATAACTCTCTCCCCTAGGGTGACATGTGTCCCCCCACTTCAAGTGGTTAAAGGAGGGAAAATAGTCCCCTTGTTAGAATAGGACAAGTGGCATCCCCTCATAAATAAGTGGGACACCTCACAAGAAATTAATTAAAATGGATTTACTCTTCTAGGGCCTGTTGTTCCACTAAACGTGCTCTACTGCAGGCCCATTAAATGCTTATTGCATTATAAATAAGCCCAAATAACTTGGGGCCTGTTGGACTGCAGGCCCCTTTCTTTATTAAAATGTTTCAGCCCACCAATAGGACTGATTGGGCTTATAAGACAGCCCTTTTCTCTTCTTTATTATTATATATTTTTTTTAAGCTATGACTGGGAGTATCTTAATAACCTGCTCCAAGTCCAGCAAATTTAAGGACTTAACATCACCATCATCATCATCATCATCCAAGCCTTGTCCCAACCAATGTTTTAAAACACGGAGGCGTGACGCGAGGCGTTCCACTACCTAGAGGATGAGGTGTAGTTCAGAACGTAAGAGGCATAAGCCTCCCGAGCACAAGGAGGTGTATCCTTAAGAGGAGGGGGTCAAAAGGAAGAAGGGGGAGAGAGGGGAGGAGGAAGAAGAGAAAGGGGGGATCTCATTTTTACTTTTTTTTAATAAAAATCTTTTATATTAAGATAGAATAAAGATGCATAACACTAGTTGAAGGGGGGGGGTCTTGTCGAAGCGCAGGCGAGCGAGTGAGCCAGAGCGAAGCAAGACCCCCTAACACAAAAGAAAAAACAAATTGGGTTGCATCTAAAAGGGGGACGAGGGGTCTGGGGGCGAAGTCCCCCAGCCGAAGGGGTTGGGGGCAAACTACTTTCTTTTCCCTTATCTTTTCTTTCATTTTCTCTTTTTTTCTTCTCTTTCTTTCTTTTTTTTCTTTCCCTTCCCTTTCTTTTCTTTTCCTTTCCTTTCCTTTTTTTCTTTTTTCTTTTTTTTGTCTTTTTATATGAGGCGCATGAGGTGTATGCCTCTAGCACACCTCATGAAAAAAGTATATGAGGTGTATACCTCTTGCACCTGAGGCGTACGCCTCAGAGGTGTTAGCGCCTCTAGCATATGCCTCAGGGCGTTTTGGGAGTGCCTCGCCCGGAGGCGTAGGCGTACGCCTCCCACGCCTTTTAAAACACTAGTCCCAACTATATGGGGTTGGCTACATAAATCCTGTTTAATGTCATATCCATTTTTAAATTATTGGTGCTTAAATCATTTCTTACTACTTCTACCCATGTCCTCTTTTCAAATCACTTCTTCATACAGTTGCTGTTGATGGCCTTCACTGCACATGACCAAAACATCATAGTCTACTTTCTCTCATCTTGTGACATATTGGACCTACTCCTAAGTTTCTGTAGTGCCAATGGCATGAATATGTATACCCTATATGACTTTCTATATTAGATATATTGTAAAACTATAATGCAATGACAGAACAAAATTCCTATATTATAGGGTTCTCATTGAAATTACACATTCGGGATTGTCAAAGCATTAGAAGATATTGTCCAACCCATCTACGTGCTTAAAGAAGCGAGAGATTCCGTTAGCAATACCAGTAAAACATAAAGTATATCATTTTGCTTCCAAGTGTATCTAAAAGTTCACAGCAATACCAATTAAAATTATCCAATAAATGCTGCATTGGAGTGGTAAACAATAAATTAAAATTCCTCTTTTCCTCTTCCCAGAGATCAAAGTTTGATCAGAAATTTATCTTGCGTGCAAAGTTTTAGAAAATACTCGCACAAAATAAGAACGAATCAACCAACTTGATATATCGAAATTGCAATTCAAAATCAAAAAAAAAAAAGAAAAAAAGAAAGAAAATGAGACCTAGAAGCCTACCGTGAGATAATCCTCCGGTCTAGGATTAGTGGGGACGATAGCCGATGATGCTTTCGAATCAACTACCTCTGCACTCTCCGCCGCAGCCTCGGTTTCAGCTGACTTGGCCTCAGACTCAACAACCGGATTAGAGTCATTAGACCCATCGCCAGAGTCTGAACAGAAAAATACTCTTTTACATAATCTTAGGTTTCTTGGATTGGAGCTTCTCAAAGAGCCCAAAACTCGAAGTAACGGAGGCCTTTGTTCTCCCCCACAATAGGAATTTGCACTTGCAGGAAGCCTCGCAGTGAAGTTCTGCAGTCGGCCCTGTAGACATGAAGCTGACAAAACCCTCAGCATTGATGAAAGCTGATCGAAGAAACCCAACAAATTCGGTATTTTCGAGCTTCCCTGCCCTAATTGTCTCAATTTTGCATGTGTTTGTCTATGCAAGGAAGCGCCATTAGTGGACCAAGACAAGAGGAGTCCAGAACAAGAAAGTATTTCATTCAAGTAAATCGGCGCTAAAAGCCCAAAACGGCAAAACCCTCCCAAAATCACAGTTGTGAAGTTAACGGGTCTTGACTCTTGACCACTCTAGAGGAACCCGACGACTTTGCTCCGGAAACCAGATTAAATGGAGCCCGCCCCAGTCTGCTATAGTGCTATGATTTTCACACCGTGAAATTCGATTCCAACGGTTCACGTGTACTTCCTCCAATGCTGGACTCTAGTTCTGTCATGAAGCCCGAAACTCGATCCGATATCCGGGATTATTCCGGAGTTGGGTTGGGTTTTAACTTTTAACTCAACCCGAACCCAATCCTAAAAATTGGGCCTAGAGTCCAAGATCAGCCCATACTAAAACTTGATGCATTTGATTGGGCCCAAGCCCTAACTAGATTTGGGTTGGTATACATATATGCATATAAAAAAAATGATCCTATATGTATATTAAAAAATTGATATATATATATATATTAAAAAATTTATTATATATACATGTATGGATGCAAATATGTGTCCATATGTCCATATATGTGTATATAATCGATTCGGGTTTGAATTGGGATACGGTTGTACTGGATTTGGCCTATAAAATCTAAGCCAGAGCCTGACCTGAAAAATTAAGAAGTCCAAACTTTTGGGCCCAATAACCTCTATGTCCAAGCTCGGTCTGGGCTCAGGTTGGATCTACCAAGCTGCACCCCTAAAGTTATGTTTGGTTTGAAGGAAAAAGTAGAGAAAGGAAGGGAAATGTAAGGAAACCTATACAAGGTTTGTAAAGGTTTTCTTTCTTTTCCCCACTTTTTCCTTCAAACCAAATACAATCTAAGACCCATTTCGTTTTTTAATGAGTTACTTATTCAGGTAAATACAATTATCTGGATAAATTTTTCCTGAAAAACACTTATAAATTGACGACTTTTTTTAGACATTTTAATTCCATAATACATAACAAGTGTTATCCATAAAGTAGAAGGATGCATCCGAAGTACTATATATTTTATTCGTCTACTGCCTCCATCACCTAACGAGCTTTTTACCCCAAATTCCCTTTTTCTTTGTCTTTCAGATGACAGTATCACCACCGTACCTAATTTGCGAACGAAGAGAGCAGCTCACGCAGTGAGATGCGAGCGTAGTGAACGAAGCGGCTATTTTTTGTTTGGTAAAGCGGACATACTTACATCAGAAACACAACCATTTCTAATTTTTCTACCTAACATTGCCACCCAAGCCACGATGGATCACGTATTCTGACCAGAGATCAACCAAGTTTCAAACCGACCATCAATTCATAAACCGAAATGAGGGTTGTTCTGATTTAATTTAGGTAGTGTTTGGTTTGAAGGAAAAACAATAATAAGGAAAAGTAAGAAAACCTTTACCTTCCTTAGTTCCTTTTTCTTCCAGAAGAATTTTGACCCATCAAAACCCACATGTAAATTTTGATAAATAACACTTGATTGGTTATCACATTTATGGTTGATAATAATGGTCCATTTGATTCTTAGTCAAAACCAGAACTGAAATGGTTTAATTCGCATAATATGTGTGGTTCAGATAGGAATGGGAATGAAAATTGGAATCATAAAAAATGGGATTTCATTCCCAAGGGAAATGAGAGGGAATGGCCATTCCCTCAAATGGGGAATGCCATTCCACCAAGAATGGGAATCGGATTCTAAATCCAATTCCAGACCCTTATTCCCACGAACCAAATGGGGCCTAAGTTTTTCAGATATCATCTATCTATATCTATACCACTTATAAAAGTGTGATTGGATCTTATTTTCTAGAATTTTCATTAGACATAATTTACCTCGTGATCTTGAGTTATAATGGAGACAAATTTGTATCTTAATAAAAAAAAAATCTTTAATTGAGATAGCAAACCAAATGAACAATATTTATGGATAGAAAATCTAAGACCCCAATTATACTACTATTAAATGTGTGAATGAAAGTGTGAAATTTTTTGTTTGCCTAGAATACCCAATTTTTTTTAATTTGGCCCCTCTCTCATTGTAAAGATATAAATATCATTTGAACAACCACTTTTCTCCTAATTCACGTTATTCTTATTAATTCTTATATTTAAGGTAATAACTCCCAATAACGTTGAATCTTATTCCTAACTATAATACCCCTATTTTTGAATTTGGTCTTGCATAAAATGTAATTTGAAGTATAATACATTTCTCATCATTCAATCCCTATCATTAAGTTATATATTTAGGGTATTAACTTCAAATTTTCATTGACTCTTACATTAATTGAGCATGTCAAAAAAAAAGTGTGCCAAAGAATAATTGTTTTTATTGGTGATAAAAATAAAATACAAATTTAAAATTAACCCAAAAAGTGTTGTTTTTCTATAAAATAATAATCAAAATTAAATAATAATAACAATTTTAAATTTTAAATTCAACCTTTTAGGTTAAGTTGTAAACCCTTGATGTCATAATTATTTAATAATAATAATAATTAAAAAGGATGAAAACAAAGAAAAGTATAAAAAATACAAAAAAAATATAGAAGACATTTGAGCACATCTCTAATATCATGTATTTAACATATTAAACAAAAATAAGTATAATAAATAAAAATATAATTATAAAAAATTTTGAAAACATATTATTTATTATCATCATAAAAAATTGACATGCACACTTACTAATGTTTTTCTTTTTTTTTTTTTGGTATCATAATTGAAATCTAGAGTGTCGAATTATATCTACTTCGGTTAGGTTTGGACACTAATATTGTTATTTCATAAAAGGTAAAAAATAAAAAATGCATAAATGGGTCGGATCCACCTCAACTCTATACGACAAAAACCTTAGTCTGATGATGGCATTATGCATGTGCATGTGTCTATATTAAAATTATAAATGTTTATTAATAAAATTGATTCAAATATTGCATTATCATTAAAAGCGGTTCAAAGGCCAAACTCCACGCAATTCGTATTTTAATTCATTTAATCAACAAGATAGAATAGTTTAGTCATTTTTTAATTTATGTATTTACGATATATAATATCTGAAAACCTGATCAAAATCCCTCAGTTAAGATCGGGCTTTGAATTCAAAATTAAAAGGATGATATTTAAATTAGATAGATCCGCTCCAAATCCAATCCGTTTATAGACTAAATCACATTGTGTAGTGGGACTTTTATTTGCCTCCCCTAAAAGGAGGTCCAAAGTTCATCATCAACAACTTCTTTTAAAAAGCCAAAAGGCTTAAATTGATGCAGCAAATAAGGAAGATTAAAAGCCAAAAGGTTGTCTGGGTTTTATTACCAAAAGCAACAACATTAATATTGAATTTGGACTTATTAGAAAACTAGTTAGTATATACGTACTTTGCATGTGATAATTCTAGATGTTCATAATGATAATAATAATGTATCTATTTTTTTTATTTTTTATTTTTAATTATTAATTGAATGTGTATTGTAAAATCCAAATCCAATTATGTAAACACCTCATTTTGGACCACAGAGTTTTAGGTATCATTGACAAGCCTAGCTGTTTGGTTGGACTCTTCTTTTTGTAATTTTTATCTTCTTAGTATATCTTTTTTGTTCATTTATCAAAAGAAATGTAAGGTTCAAAGAGAGAAAAGTGAATTATGTGAAAAGTAATAATTGAAATTACATTTTAAACCTCGCAATCAAATAGAGGTTAAATTCAAAAATAGTGTAATTTTAGTCAAAAAAAGCTCTACAATCTTATTTGTGTTTTTAGTAGTAGTATAAATATATAATTATATATGCATTCAATTTGTTCTGTATATTTTTTTTATTTCTACGTGTATACAAACATTGTTTACTAAGATAAATACATGATATTGTACATGTGCCCAAATGTTCTTTTTTTGTAAAACTTATCTATTTTTTTCATTTTTGTGTGTTTATATTTTATTATTTAATTATGACATTAAAGGTTAACACATTTGACCCAAAAGTTGAACTATTGATCTTTGTCCAACAAAAAATAATTTCATTTTTGACTAGTTTTAAATTATGTATTTCATTTTCATCATCAATAAAAAAAAATATTGTTTATTACTCTTACTTTTTAATTTGATTAATAAAAATATCATAAATGTTTCTAATTTTTTCTACATTTTTGTATTTTCTATATTTATTTATATTTAAAAAGTTTATTATCCAATTATGACTTCATGGGTTGACTAATTTGATTCGGATGGTTGAATTGCTTAGTCATCACTTGGATTATGGTTTTATATTCTTAAAAATATTGGACATATGTCTAATTAATAGCATTTATTAGTAAAAAGAATAATTTAAATATATGACTTAATAAGAGAGAATGGGCGTTAGCACCTCTAGTATATGACTTAATACAAGAGATTTGAATGAAGTGAAAAATAATAATTCAAATTATATTTTTTGCCCTTACAATTAAAAAGTGACTAAACTCACATTAGAAATATAGATTATATAAAATACAAGAAATGTTCCCCATATGCAAGTAGGTGAACATGAACATGAGTATGAGACTAGCAATGTGTTATGGTGAGCAGATACGAACTCTTCAAAAAGAACCTATATAGTTTGACTTGAGTTCGAGCCTTTGAGGAAGAAGAAATCCAATAAAAATAACAACTCTTGGCATAGTGGCTAGTAGAACGCATCAGCATGAGATTTTCTTTTTCCCACTTGGTCTGAAATGTGGCCCCCAGTGGCACAGAAAAGCTATTGCACTACTAGCACTATTCACATAAAATATATGCTCATGCATAATAAGAGAGTGAGTGACCCAAGCTTATTTTTTCCAAATCGGAAAGATTGGAATTTGGGAGGACCGGGGGATGGGCGGGGGAAGCCACTGCCTGCCATGGCAGAAGTTAGACCTTAATTAAGCAAACTTTGATAGGGGTGAGCAAAAAAACCGAAAAAGTGAATCGATCGAACTGAAAATTTGGCTAATCGAATCGGTCGGTTAACTAATATAGAAAACTGACGGTTAATCGAACTAATCGATATA